GAAGAGACAAATTAATTTCCATCATCGACGATTTACAACAATAAAGTATTCCCTTCTCTCGCAAGAATTTGACAAGAATTTTCTTACGATTTGAAATACATTTTATTCCCAGAATAAAAATCTAAAGTCAAAGTTTCGAGTTGGACGGAATCCATCCAATTCCATCCAGGGTGGTAAAGGTTGCTCGATAATTTAAACGGATATCTATCTATCGCCACCACCCCTTCGCAATTCTCTTCTGGTAACGATCCACGACGCAACTGGCCGTAGTATGGTATGACGACCGCGTCTCTAGGTATATGCGGAAACACTCGGTTGGGCCACGTATACGAGGATTCTTTACGTGACATCCTTTGCTGTGGCTCGCGCACCTTGGTCAATAGGAAACGTGGTCGAGAAAAGTGGCTGGTTTATACCGATTATCTCATTGACAGCAAGCCAATTCGAGAAGAAGATTCGATCGTTAGCTTTCCAGGTTGAACTTGCTTTTTTACAAGTTGAAAGATCGGTTTCGATGGGAAAGAAAACGGGATGATTACGATATTTTTCGCGCGGTGAAAACGAATACTCGACGGTTAATAGATTTATTCTTAACTTTTTTTTTTTTGTTGTAAGAAAAAAGAGCGAATTGTAAAGTGGCTAATATTACGGTTTGAATAATGGATTAACGTGGATGGATAGGTATCATTATCATTGATAAGATCAACAGATCGAGTAATTATATAATCGATCGAGTTGTTTTGCTTGTAATTTTTAGCGAGCTTGATTATTGAATTTTGATTATAAAAAGAAAGAAAAAGAAAATTTTTTCGGGAGATGAAAATATAATCTTAAAATCTTATCTATTAAGAACTTTAGAATTCACGAACAAAGAAATATTTTATGTACATTTTTAAAATTCCTTTCTTGAATTAGAAATTCGATAATTATTTTTAAGCTAATTTTGGAGATTTCAATGCGAGGAAAGTTGTGAAATCGCCGGTAAGGAATTGTCATCGAGGCGAATGTTAATTGGAAGGGTTTGTATCGAGGGTGAGAGTGTCGAGGGTGAGAAAAGGGAGCGGTTGATTTTCCACGCCACGCCCTAATTCGTCTTTCGCCAGCCCTTCCCTTCGAAAACGCGTTTTTCTCGCCTATTAACCTCGACGAAACATTTCCAAACCACTGTGCCACCTGTGCTAGAAAATATATTTTGAATTTGATATATACATCTTAAATAAAGATCGTGCTAATTTCGTCTGTTTATATTTTTTCCATGATTTTTTTAATATTCCCGTTTGTTGAATGACCTCTCTTTCCCTCTCTTTCTCTCTCTCTCTCTCTTTTTTTCTCTCTTCGAAGAAAAAATTCAAGCAGAATATCGGTGATATTCTCGATCGAGATTAAACGAAAACAATGGTTCGTTATCGATACAATTAACAGTATCTTTTTAACCGAAAGCCTTAAGTATGCTCTTTATGATCTCGTGAATATATTAAGTAATTACTTAAGAGCTGATCATCTCGAATATTCCCATTAATCTCTTGATTTTTCGACGAAGGAGGATTTGACGATATTGTTTATGTGTTTACAATTAATACAATTTTTAAAAAAATACAATTTTCCAAATTCTAATAAATTCTAAGAAGACTAAAAAAAGAAAACAAAGGACTTATACGAAAAGAATCAATTTATATCCAACATCGAGCGCCATTTTACATTAACCGATACGTTCAAATTTTTTGGCTGAACGACCATCACGACCTATTTCAGTTATTTAAGAAACAGAGTGCAATAACCTCTCCGATTCTTCTAGCTTCCTCTAACCAACTAATTCAAAATCTATCCAAAACTTTACCTCTTCCTCGATTGAATTCGACATAAAGGAATATTTCAATCGCGATATTTCAATAAACTCTCGCACAAAAGGAAAAGAAACGAGAAAAAAAAAAATGGATGAAAAAAAAATCGAGAAGAAAATAAAAAAGCGTACACGTGTCTCTGCAAGATATTCCATCCTCGAAGATCGTCAGTCCTTTCACGGGAGCGATTCAAAAGATAATCCTCCCAGATAAGGGGAAATTCAGGTCCTTATCTACCGGACTTATTATCTGGAGTCGGACTGCCTCATCGTTCTCTCTCTCTCTCTCTCTCTCTCTCTCTCTCTTTCTTTCTCTTTCTCTCTTTGCACGCTCATCGATACTTCGTAGATAGATTAGAATTGAAACGCGTCACCGCGAGATCGTCCGCGCCTTTTCTCCTCTTCCCGCCGGGTAAATCGCTATCGAGCGAGGCCGAAAAAATCGATACGAGGCTTCCTGGAAACTGAGCGGCTTGGCTTGTTCTGGCGGTAGGATAGTACGAGAGTTACGATTGCGTCATTGGGAACGATCCGCGTAATCTCGTTATCTCGTAAGCTTTCGTTCCGCAGACGCGAATTTTTCAGCTTTTCAGCTTTCGAAGAGGCGAGAAAGAGATGATTATTATATCCTTGATTGAGGTTAAGCAGAGCGTCGAAGTTTTTTTGTAACGGTAATTCGATCCTTTTTCTCTTTTCGAGTTTCGTCTTTGAGGTTATGTCTTCTTCGAGTTAATTTTTCGTTACGGTTTTTATGCACGATCGTTTCATATTTGATTGTTGTATTAATTCAATTTCCTTTTCTTCGCGAGTTTCGAGGATTTTTGCGCGTTTGAATTATGTTATGTTATTATGGGATGATTGGTGAGGTTGTGTAAGTTATGTAAGAGATCTTTTAAATGATTGTTAGGATATTAGTGACAAGTTGATTTTTTTCTTTCTTCGCAGTTTGGTTTTGAAACTGAATTATACGGGATGCTTGCATTTTGGAAATAAGATTGGAAATAAATTATTATTATTATTTTTTTTTTTTATAATACAGAGAGAATAATTATTTGAATTTTCGCGGTTTTTTACAGTTGGATCACGAAAGATGATTTGATTGTTCGAGGTTATGTAAGATTTGTAGATTAATAGATACTTTAAATGATTTATGAATTTATGAATTACTGAAGTTTTGAACGTGAAATCTTTGAAACAAATTTCAACAAAATTTCTGTATTAATCTTTTCAATAATTCAATCGATTACAAATGGCAAATTGAAACTCTAACAGAGATACAATTATCTACGATTTCGGAAAAAGATAAAACAAATACCGGAAATTACACCTATATCTATCAACTACTAGCTATATTTTCTATTAATTAAACGCAATCCTATAAACCATCTTTCGAAAACAACTTCTAAATTAATAATTATACAAATTTTGGAATAAAAAATTTCTCCATCAACCAAATATTTTTTATCAAAAAATCAATCAAATTTCCAAAATCAATATAAATTTTATCTAATTTCCATCGTTTCCCCATTTGATACTTTTATTTCGAAACTAGTTAAAAAGAATATATAAAATAAATCCTATCTTAATTTCCAAATCAAACATCGATCAATTTCTCAGAATCAGTGAACGTGTTCTCCTCTATCGTTTATCAATCATTTTCGCCGAAACGGAATCTCGTGTAACATTGACACGCGAATTTCAATGGAGAGAACGTGCGCCGCGTTCTTGAAACGAAAATCCCATTACACGCAGACTTAATGGAGACACCGATAGGCATCGATATTTTGTGTGTTAATCGAGGAAGAATAGAGGGAAAGAGAGAGGAGGAGGAGGATAGCGGAATAGCAAGAGAGAAAGAAAGAGAGAGAGAGAGAGAGAGAGAGAGAGAGAGAGAGAGAGAAAGAGACGCGCAATACAACGGTCACGAACGATAATATCTTTTCTCCCTCCCTCCCCCCTCCCCCTCCCTCCTCCTCTTTGTTGTAGCACACAACTCGGTTTGCTCATTAACCATGGATCGAATTTCGGTCGTTTCCTCGCATCCTGTTGCCTTTCAGCCTAAATAATTCCCAGGCCACCGATAAATCGGTTTTAACACCGCGTCAGGTCGATCCGAAAAACAATGGGCTCCTCGTTAGAACGGCAATAAGAGGAGAGGAGGAGAGGAGGAGGAAGGGTGAGAGGGAGGGAGGGAGGGAGGAGGGAAGAGGAATCGTACGAAAAATTCGTCTAAAGGTAAAGTGTCGCGATGTGTTTCTTTTTCTTTTTTTTCTTTGCTTTTTTTCGAATCACCTTGAAAGAAAGAACGAAGATTGAAAATAAAACGTTTCCGGGATGACTTTTGATCTCTTTGAGAAGGTGATTTGAAAGATTTTTGGAATTTGAATGGCGATTTAATGGATCGAAGACAATGATGTGGTTAATTTGAAAGATCTTACGTTGATAAGTATACGTAGTTTGTAGATATTTTAAACGATTCCGACGAATGTGATATATATATATTTTTTTTTTTTTGAAAGATCCGATTCGTATCGTTTATCAGAAAAGATTTTGTACGATATTGAATAATTGAATTGAAAATTTGTATCTATTTATTATATATTATGAACGAATTTTTAAATGTTAACAAAAATTGAATGATTATAAAATTTAAATTTTCTTGAGTTTTTAAAAGTTAAGAATTAATATATTTAATGATTCGAAGATGCTGGAGATAAAATTATTTATTGATATTCTACGCGATATTTAGATCTTACACGAGTATAATGTTTACAGTTTAATCTAATACATTTCACCTTCCATCTTATTTAGAAATTTATTCAGAATTTTAAGCGATCTATATTTAAGAAGGGAGGATAGATACGATTATTAAGAGAAATCTTAATCGATCTTTGCAAAATTCTTGAAATTTTTCAACGAACGAGATGTCGTTCTCTGTTAAATATTTCCGATATCTCGAACCAAAGAATCTTACTTTCCATCGCTATTAACGAAAAACGGGATGGACTAACGAGAAAAAAAAAAAAAAAAAAAAANAAAAAAAAAAAAAAAAAACACAAGGAATCCAATGGCCTGACTAGAAATTCCTTATCGTCGGCCGTCGAGAAAGAAAGACAAGTCCATCACCTGATTATAAAACAGAAAAAAAAATACGACATACCTTTAGACGTAGAGAAATCCATGTTTTCCACTTAACGTCGTGGCCGATTCATGGAGTTGCAAGGCAGGTCTCGATACTTAAAATCCAATTAAAATGGTGTGGGATGCACTTAAGCACACGAGATTGCTCTGCCATATAGAGCCACACTCGAATCAAAAAAAATCTGTATTTGTCACGATTTCTTCTCTATTTTTCGAAACACGCGCGTTAACTTTTTAACTTAATATTAACTTAATATTAATTTAACTATTTACGTAATTAATATAGAACTAAATTTAACATAAAACTAAATTACTATATAACTATATTTTAATATTTAAAATAATATTAACACGATAAAGAAAAAATTCGAATGGTCCCTTAACGCGAATTAACTTAAACCAAAAAAAAAAACACAGATAAATATGCGAGTGTTCTTATTAGCGTTTCGAACGTCTTATCAACTTCTGTAATTAATTTACATCGATCACAACACTTGATCTATAGTTTTTTCATCCGGCACCATAACTTGACAGTAACATCAGGCACTTTTATTCCGATCGACTCCTTTAATCCGTTCGGATACATTGACTTGCACCCTGGAGAGAGACTTGCACATCCACGCGCCACCGAGGATCGCGAACGAATAAGGAATTCTGAATTCGGGAACGAGGCCGTTCAACACGTATAGTATCACGGACACGGATAAACTGATCACGATCAAGCGTATTCACAGACTCTTTAAACTCTCTAAATTCCGGAATAAAGTCTGACGTATACGAGAGTGGGATATATGAACACAAGGTTTGCACGAGAACACGTCGTACCGTATCGGTGTACAGCGACGAAATGACACTGCTTCTGAATTTGTGACTGACAGCCTGCGCGCAAGAACATCCCTCCTACCTGTATCCCCACCTCTCTCCTCGCCGTAAGTTCGGCTTCATTCGCCCGCCCGAATCCCCACTCCGCCGTTCTCCCACCACTCCTTTGCTATCTTTCTCGCTCTCGTCTCTCGCTCGTCTTTTCGGTACTCCACACTTTTCTTCTCCTTTTTCCTTCTCCTTTCTTCTATTTTTTATCGTTCGTCCTTCTATCGATGCTTCTCTCGATCCCCTCTCGATCCCTGTTTAATACTAAATATATCTGTCTCGTTGTAATATATATTTTCTCTGCTATTCAATATCTTTTAATTTGTTCTTATTTTTCGAAGTTCTAAATTAATGCATCCTTCTCTGTCGAACGAAATATACATCTATTTTCCGAAATATCTATTTTACTCCGTTGTATCTTTCTCTCTTCTACATAAATGATACGAATCATCTATCATCGCAGTTCTTATTCTACATATTTCCTCTTCTATCAACTATATCACACCATTTATCCATCCTTTTTCCACTCGTCGTCTCTTAACTCTTGCGGTCATCCCCACCACTGGACGACTCTCTCCCGCCCGGTCACGTAGCTCCGTTCCTACGTGCGTTCTCCACCAGAGAAGCGTGGTGTACCCTCTCGTCTACATCTCTTTCTCTCGTTACTCATGAATCTTTTCTCTTTCTATCCCTACCCCGATCGAGCGCAGTCCGAGTATCCTTATCCCGCCCCTGCTGTTTCCTTCTCTCGCCGCTGATCGTTTTCTCGGCTCCTGTCTGCTGCCATTCCCCTCCCTCGCTATTCACCCTCATCTCTCCCCCACTATCTCCCCCATCAGCCTTTCTCTTTCGCTCCACGTTCTCCCCACCACTCCACTCCGTACCTATGCCAACGCCGCCGCTGTCATCGGTACAGCGACGCGCGCACGTAGTGCTACTCGTATTTTTTCGCATGAGAATGTGTGCGTGCGGATGGGAGAGCGAGCGCGCGCAGCCACCCACACGAAGGGGACGCGGTGAGCTTCTCCGGACCATGCGATATGTGCACGCACGCGCGCGATTCTTCCCTCATTCGAGCCCCGGGAAACGGTGTACCGTTCCTGTGCGGTGCAACGGGAATTACGTAAAGGGGTGGCGTGTTGCGAGTTAACTCGATTCCACGCGTCGCTCTCCAAGTACCTTTCGATACTCGGGCGTGATTAATATTGCCATTCTTAAGTTAAAATCTATACTTTGCATGCATTTTTTTTAAACTTTTAAGCAAAGATAGAAGGGACATTTCTTGTATTCTCTTTAGGGATCTAAAGAGTTAGGATTATTAAGGATTATATAATATATATCTATATATGATAACGAATAATATATCTATTTATGGTAACGAAATGTTTTTTGAAAAATGTAACATAGATTGAATGGACAATTGATTTCATTTTCATCTAATGTAAGATATTGAAAGAATCATGGTGCTATGTGAGAGGGATAATTTAGATTGGGAAATATAATAACGTAAAATATATATTATAAAACGAAATAAATTCATTGGAAAATACTTTGGAAACAATTCTTTTAGTCGGTTTGAAATATATGAATAATATAGATTATACGTTGTTATTCTAGTAATTAGACTAATTATTCCAACCTTCTGGAAGCGTATTATCTTACAGTTGAATTTTATACATCTTTCCACCATACCTATTTGTGATTAGCTTTATCTTGCATGAATCATCAAGAATAAGCACTTAATTGTCTCTTTGGCCATTGGAAGAAAATTGAACTGTTTTTCGATTCTCATTTTTTTTTCAAAAACATTCTTTGCCATCAATTTCTTTCAACGTATATATAAAAATTATTTTAGAATAATTCACATTCTATTGAAAAAAATAAAGTCGATTGAAAGTAATGGTTTAAAAAACTTTTCGACGAATCTAACGAAATCTTTGAATTTAAAAATATAAAAATTTTAATTTTTAATGAAACTTGTAATGTTGAATCAAATTTTTAACCTTTAAAATCTTTTTTTCGAGTTCGTGGATGACGAGGCAAATATCGAAAATCATCGAGAATCGTATAACAATTCAACAGATGACCGAGCATTAAATTTTTCGTTAGATAATGTATGCTTGAATTTACGTCAGCTAAGCTGAGAAAAAAATTAAAAGCAGGGGAAAAAATAGTGGAACGACATCTCAACATGCGCCATTTGCGATAACGATAGAAACCAGCCGCGAAAGTTCATCGCTTCCGTTTCGTCAAAAGTTCACTACTTAACAATAAATAACTCAGTAGAATGAATTCTAATGTAGACAATTTTAATGTGCAATCATTAGACAGAGAGAGAGAGAGAAAGAGAGAAAATAACAAATATAACACAATAACAATAATTATTATTTAGAATATTTTTCATTTTATTTTTTATTTAATATAAAAATCTCATTTCTTTTAATAATATCTTTTTGATTAAATAAATTAAATATTTTAAATATAATTTTATAATTTCTTTTGTCTCATTTGAAAAAATACAAGAGACAAATTTAACGAAATGTTTAAAAATGTTTAAACAATTTGTTTTATCTAACGAGAATAATAAAATCTGCCCAGTTTCATATTTCTACATATTCATATTCATACACACCATCATAAAAAAATGATACATTTATCTTGGGATATAATTAGTAATATTTTTGTAGTTATTTTCATAACACGCAATGTGTCCACTTCAACCTACTTTTTCTTTCTAGTTTTTACATTTTTTTTAATTATAAAAAAGTTTATAATTGCTAATAACGTAAATATAGCAGAATAATAAAAATTGCATTAATTAAAGTTAGTCAACAAATTGCAAAAGTAAAAAATCATTTGCAAATATTCGCGTTAAATACGATAATGCGCATAAATATAAATTATTTTTAAAAATAAAAAAAAAAAAAGGAAAGAAAGAAACGAAAAAGAAAGCTCAAAACTATCTATACATTAACAAAAAGTTATTACATATAAATGGATTCAAGAATTGCTTTGAAGAATTCTAAATCTGCTGATAATCGTGAGAAAATTACATCGCATTAAATCGCAAAAGAATTGATCAAATGTCATATGAGAATAGTTCGTAGAATCATAGAAACAATCGTAGAAACAATTGTAGAATCATGAAAATTAATGTATTCCATCATGAATTTTTAAAAGACGAAGAACTATTGACTAAAATTCTCCATAAATAAAATTTGCATCTCTCTATTGTCATTTTTTTTCATGAGTATATATAACGCAATATTATAAATTAAAATTAAATTAAAAATAAATCAATAAAACTTTTAAATATCTTAAATTTATGAAAAGAAATTTAAAACGAACGAAAAAACTTTGTCAAAAAAAAAAAAAAAAAAAAAAANAAAAAAAGACAAAGAAAACAACGACTCCAATAAGTAAAGTCCTTTCTCTAAATATCTAAATTATTTTGTAAAAAAATCATTATGATAATAAAATGGCAGGATAACACGTACTTTCACGTACAAGTAAATAAAATATATGATATAACCTACGCCAATGCATTTTATTATGGAAAGAACCATTCTAACAACCATTCACTGGTGATTATAAAATATTGCCAACAGAGTGAACAAAGAGGGATAAGTTGGTAATTTTCCGATAATGTCTCCTCGTTGTTTATGAGCGTATGACGTTCGAACAAGGTGAATGCAGAAACATTTCTGGGCAATAAAATTGAAGCAAACAATTTATGACTGCACTCAGATATTGCTTATTTCCCAAACATTATTCTGCATAATATTAAATGGAAGATTATGTCAAAAATGCGAAGTTTCATTTGGATGAGCACAATGGTATCCTCCAATTTCGAATGATATAATTACTTCTTCTTACTTATTACCAATATTGGACCTAATAATTTCTTTGTGTGACCAATCTGCAATAATTATAGGTTTGATAATGTACGTAGATTTTTAAACGAACAACAAATTTAACAAATTTCTCCAAATTTTTATTTTAGAATAATTCCAATTGAAAATGGAATAAAAGAAAAAGGGTCTTTTTATGGATTACTTTCTTGAATCACTTAATTAAATGGAAGGTCATTTGAAGATATTAGTTACTTGGAAAAACTCCTCTTTCTTCTTATTTTAAGAATCATCAAAACTTTCTTACAGAATCCTCTTATATACAGTGAGAATGGAAGATGGAAGATGGAAAGATATATAAATATCTTTAAATGCAATAAATTTCAAAGAACTTGAAAGAAATTCGAACAAAGAACTGTTTATAAAGGATTTAGATTTTAATTTTTCTGGCCAAATTTATATTAGGCCAAGGTATAATTTATTTGAAGCATATTTGATATTTTTTTTCTGTTTTGATATTTAAGAAGATTGATATATGTCATCTATTTTAAAATGTATCATTATCTTGAATAATTTTTGTCATAGATAAATAAATTTAGATAAAATAATAGAATCATAGAATGAGATATCTTAGTATTTGTTATTTCAACTACTTGCAATAGTTATAATTCAAAAAATTGAATATAAATAAAAATACAAACAGATTATATCATTTACCTATTTTATTTAATCTTATTTATAAATATATTTTTGTAATATATATATATACACATATACATATATATATATATATTCTATCCATAGAGAATTTTACAATCTATTCCTGAAGATTTTATCATAGAAGATTTATCATACCTTTTAAAATGATGATATATTCTTAAATTTGTGTATATATATGTCATGTTTAAAATAAACTTTGTAAGGTCATCTTTATCTTTTTTATGTGTGTATTTAACATATGTACGTTTAACATATTATCTGTTTATAAGATCAAAAGAAAAAAAATTATATTAATAAATAATCTTTCAAAAAATATATCTATATATGTTTAACTTTTTTTTATTTTTAATAAATATTTTTAATAAATACACACAA